CCAAGAGGCTAAAGGCTCACTTCAGCTCTGAAATGCTCAGGAGAGTCAAGGACATCTTCCCAGAGCTGCCGTTACTGGTTCCCACAGAGAAGTTCAGGGCCAGCATGGGGCTGCCTCCATCTGCACCCACAGACAGCAAGTCCTATTCCCAGCCCCTGGAAGAATAGCTGCACCTCAGGGATTTGGTCTGCTCTTGTCTTTGGGATGAGAGGGTCAAGGTCCAGACATTCATGAGCAGTTACTGCTCCCCCCAACCCCCAGTTGGAACCCCCTTGAGAAGTGGAGCAAGACACTCCTCTGGATGAAGGCAAGCAGTGGCCAGCTACCTGCAGGCCTGCGCTGCTGAAGGAAGGCAGAGCTCTCACTCACTACAGCAGAGAGAGGGGGGGCGGGTGGGGTGGAAATTAACCTTGTTTTTTGTCTGCCATCTGCACTTTGATATCACTGGCAAATGCAAGCTTTCCATGACAAATCTAGGCTAGAGTTAATCCCTTGTATGGTCATTCAAGCTAGATTACACCAAAGATAGTAACAGATGCAATAACTCTGTTCTTCCAGTATTTTTTCTCGTCTAACAGGAAGACAGACACTGCTATTCCAGCCTGGCAGAGCCCAGTTCATCCACCCCTGAGTAGTGACCCAGGGGCACTGTCGTCTAAGTGTGGCCATTAACTGTCTCTGCCTGTCATGCCAGCTCAGACATGCATGTGTGCCTGTTCCAGCTGGAGTTCCCTGTGCTTTGCAGCGTGTTCTCCAGGAGAGGGGAAGAAAGGAGCAGAAAGATGTAACGAGTGCAGCATAACCAACAAAACAAGAAGGAGCTGCTCTGGACTTAGCCCTTCCATAAATCCTGAGTCTAATTCCTGCTGAAGGCAAGTGGGACCCTGGGATCTAAATAAATTTATGGATTGAGACCAAAACTACCCACTCCACAATCATACTACTGAAGGAAGGAAGAAGCAACATTTACCGCTCTTCAAGGTAGTGGAGGTGTTACACTGCATTTGTGTTATGTCATTTTACTGAACAGTTTAAAGAAAAGGTCAGGCCTTCTGCATGAGCAGCAGTTAGAGAACTCAATTTTTGCTTCAAAGGGAGCGTGTTCAGAGACACAGCCAAGCTGGACAAAGGGAAGCATGCACATAGGGTAAACAATTTGAAGTAAGTTTAAAATAAACAAACCCCCACACATACAAAAGACCCAACTGCCATCTGCCCCAGACCAGTGGGGAAAGAAAGGGAGAGTTAAGAGAAATGTCTTTTTAAAATTTACATTAGGGAGAGGATGTGAGCAGGGTGCATTTGCATAACCTAAAAGCATAAGGAAGTCAATCTTGAATCCTTCCTGCAGAGGGAAGACAGTACTACCCACCACAAGTGGTGGCCACACAGATGCTGCTGCACCTCTGATGAGTAGCAAACTATATTCTCACTGACAAGGGCCAGGTCATACAGGTGGTGCTTTTGCAGAAAATATCAAATTCCATGAAGTCCATTTGATTTCCCAGGAGTTGCACACACATGAATGCAGCTAAGGGTCCTATCTAAAGGCTCACTCTCATGACTTCAGCTAAAAAGGGAGGCAATCAATTGTCAGAGCCAGAAGGAACATCAGTTTCCCTTCCTAGCTTCTCTTTTAAAGAGATTGACATGAACCATTTTGAAGTCAGGTCAGATTTATTCATGTGCTTTAATCCAGTTTTGAAGCCCACTGTAGTGTTTAGTAATTAAGCAGTATATTGATGTAGTTTTGAATCAGGAAACAAGGTGAAGCAACAGACAACCAATAGACCATGTCTAAAGCCACTAAAGGCTACTGAAGAGACATTTTCAACATGAGCAAGTTTTAATCAAATTATGGAATTAACACCCTAGTCAGAGCCTTGGTGACATGGAGCCACCATCCAGACACCCCTCTGGTTTGAGGAAGGACCACAGCCCAGACCCTCCAACTCCAGGCATCTCCTCAGAAAACTAAAAATCCTTCTAATTGGCAAAAGCTTCCCAGGGCAGAATTGCCTCCTCGGCTTGGCACAGAGTCACTATTTTAGTCAAGCCACTACATTATTTGACCAGTTTAGTTTGGCAGCTTCCCTGACAGACACAGGAGCTAGATAAACAGGGAAAAGCAGTGCTGGACGTTCCTGTCATCGCTTCACAGACCTCAAGCTGAGGAGACCCATACATTAACTGCTGCCATACCCCCACAGCCAGTGAAGGAAGTGGTTTTACTTAAGTCAGCATGTCTAGAGCTGGGCTGCAAGCCCTTCCAGCACAACAGACCCCAAGGGAGAAGGTATAGAGGGAAAGTAGGAAGCTGCCATTGTCTTCATGTCTTAGAGGTAATCAACCTTCTCACCTATCACAGCCATCAGCTAGGCAAGCTAGGCTAGGACAACACAACCTTCCCTTAACAGAGGAACCCCCAGAGGACACTTGCTTAACACTGCAGCCCCAGAAAGTAGCTTCGTTTACATCTGCACAACAGAGAATCCTCTCCACTGCTCTGTTACCCATTCGACCTGGAAAACCTTGTTTGTCTCAAGAGGAGAGGTCCAAGCAGGTCAGCAGGAGACAGGTTCAGCCTCTGCACTGCTACAGATCCCATAGACAACTCACTCAATATTACAGGCTTTCATAAGCATTTGGTTTCTTCATTCTCAAGTCTGCTCTCCAAGATACTTTAAGCTACCTTTTTTTCCTCTAAAGGAAAAAATGCACACAGCATGCTTTAATATGTACCTCAGGTTAAGGAGGTAGAGCTACCAGGCATTTCTGGCAGCAGTAGCCTTGATCACACCACACTTCAGTTTCTTATTTTATACATTTGTCTACCTGAGAAACAGCAAGAATTATAAGAAAGTTATTAATATAGTTATTTCTCTCCAAGGAAGAAAGGATGATTAACTAATTAAGTAAATTAATCATCTTAAGAGAATAATTTAGAATCCACCATGACCTTCAAGTCAGAAGTTGCTTGTTACATTTCCTTGCAACTATACTCTTATTAGAGATATTATACATCATAACACCCCTCCTCAAACAGCACAAGATTTGTCAAGAGTTATAGCAAGGACAGGCCAGAAATAGGTCTGGCCTCTAGTTACACTAGACACTAATCAAATAGTTTCAGTTAAAATAAAAAAAATTCATATCACATACTTAAAAGCTTAGTAGTATAAGAGATATGTTACATTTTCACATTATTGCTTCTCATAGCTAACAAAGTCACTTTGAGCAAGTTATTCCCTTCAGATAGAAGTTCATTTATTTAAGAATTACCAGAGGAGAATTTTTTTCTCAAGGCACTTCATTAGATACCACAACCGTTTCCTGCAGCAGAACCACACACAGAGAGCACGATCTACCAAAAATCACAAGGTTAACACACAACTTGATGGCTGCACTGCAAAGTTAAAAAGCAAACTACAGTAGAAACTCTAAAGCTTCTCACTAAGTGCACACAAACAAATAAACAAAAGGAACTTACAAAATCAAATATTCTGTCACAACAAACAGCAGCCACTTCCTTCACAACTACCCCTTTACTCCAGATCCCTCAAGAGACCACACTCATTCTGCCACTGCCCCTTTTATCCAGAAACCACTTCCAGTGCAGCTTTGCTTCCTCTAGCTATTTGTCAATCAGTGGAAGCTAATGAGTTCAGCCACACCAATCAAGGTGTTTAATTAAACCCAGGTGTGCTGAAAGAGCCAGGCTAATGGAATTAATGCAACTCATTATGGTGGGAATCCTCTGGTAACTTTTAAAATTTGTTATACCTATGCTCCAATTCAGTAAAGCATTGGATCCCTGCAGTCCCTGACGCGGGCACAGGGATCTGTGCTAGTTTTCCTGGCTGGTTTTGAGATGCAGCCTCACATACTGTGTGTTGCAACAGTCTAATTGCACAAAGGTCTGGACACCTACGGCAAGATGCGTATTGAAAGAAATGTCCTCATTATAGTGTTGCAGAAACAACACTGCTGTTTGTGTCTGATTCCAGCTGTGTTAGAGGCAGGCATGCATATGGCAAAAGAAAACTGGAACTTTTGCTTTCTTTGCCTCCCCCAATCCTTAGCATCACTGTTGTTGCTGTCAGGAAGAGAGCCATGAGTGACAATCATCCTGACTGTTACGTTTGCTTCTGGACTGAGACGACGCACAGCTCATCTCACTTTTGCTGCCAAAAAGGTGCTATCTGGTCATGGTGATCTGCCTCTATCCCCTAGGCCTGGCTTTGCTTCAGCAACTGAGAGATACAAAACTACAGCTAGTCCCTGCAGGTAGGGACCTACGTATGGACAAAATAACGTGTCTCATATAAAATAATTGAAATGATAATAAATCAGTCTGAGAACAGTGGACTCTCCACACCACTGCACTGTATGAATGGCCTGTTCCATACCTGGGGGCGATCTCCTTGTAGCAGGTCAGCGGAACAATAGTGCCCTGCTGCCTTGCTTGGCGTGTGCCCTTTCCCCGCTGTTCCTTGATGGCCTGCCAGTTCTGGAGGCGTAGCTTTCTGGGGGTCAGACTCTTCCACTGACACCAATGCTGATATGGAGTAACTGGTGTATCTACTGGAGTTTTTTCAGATTTACACCAGCACAATGGAGATCAAGATGCCAATGTACCCTAGCGCACAAAACAAGCCTTTGCAAGACTTTTTGAGGTGCCACCTTCTGATCGATGATCGGAACAGGTTAGAGTGTCCGTTGGCACCCGGGGTGCTCACATTTACATCACCTCCCTTTGCACTGACCATTGTTTCCTCACTGTATATAAATACACACTACTCCTCATTATGAAATGTGAGCACCCCCTGCAAGTATGGTAAGTCATCAGCTTATATTTTTTGTGTGTGTATGTGTAATGTACACTGGAAGTGTTTTTTAGTCTGAGTAGTAGGACTCATCCTTAATTCAGTTAGTCTGTTAAAACTTTGAAAAAAACACCTAATTTCAAAGAAAGATTCTTGTTTCTTTTCTAGAAATTCTTGCTGTTTTTTTGCTTGATCCTTCTCTTCTCAAGGACTCTGTGTGATGCTCGCTGTTACTTTAGACCAGCCAGCAAATACGGTAAGAATGGCAAATATATAAACATCCCTGAAGCATTAATTCAGAGATTCAAAGCCTTATTTTCTTGGAAATGTTGGGATAGTATAACACATTCTTTGTTGAGGAATGACCCAAACAGCTGCATACTCAGGTATCAACCCACCTGGAGGCATCTCTGGACACAGAGAGAGAGACGCTATCCTGTTCCATAGTTACCCTCCGGGCTGATGTATAGCTGAAGTCCTTGCCCATGTGGCAAAAACACGTACTTTTAAGCAGCATTGACTAACCTGAGTGGGGTACCTGACACTAAAATCAAAGTCAAGACAACACAACTGGTGTTTAAATTCAGTTTAGCAGAGCAAGTTGAAGTCTAATAACTGGGGAAAAGGGAGGAGGGAGAAATTAAAGTCTAGACCTGTATGTTGGATATGAGAAAGGACGGAAAGATCCTACCATAGCCATAAGCTAAGGCATTTCTCAGATCCATTGCAATAGCAGAACAGTGCTTCTCTGGTACGTGGTTGCTACCACTTTATCATGCCTTACCATACACTCGTGCACACTTCAGGAGCAAAGACATGGTATCCTTTCTGCAGAGCACTGGGTCAGATTCTTCCCTGGTGCCACTCAATGGAAATCAGTGCTTTGATTGCCAGTCCACAAACATGACGGTGGTCTATGTCTATTGATACATGTTCATACTGATCTACTGACTATCATTTTCTGGTGTGTGCATGCAGGGTGCCTTTCAAACAGAAACCTCTATGTTTTTGGTGCGGCGTGGAAGACTGAAGATTGTTACCAATGCAGGTGTAAGCTGACTGCAATGATTTGCTGCAGCTTGTAAGTTCCCCCAAATTATTTTTTGCTTATTCAGGAAATGGTTGAAATGTTCAGACTTAAAAAAACTCATTGAAAGCGTGCATTGGAGTTTCATACTCGCATGAGCAACATTCCTCTTCCTGTTTCCTAGTTATCTCTAATCATGACCAAGCAGAATAGTCTGGCAATGACATAGACTTCTTTGGGAAGAAACAAAATGAAACACAGCTAGAGTCTTTCAAACTCACAGCTCTTCCTCATCACCTAGTCGTTCTTTTGATTCTGACACTAACTGGGTGTATGACTCCCTTTAACCTCAGTTTTCTTTCTCCTTCTATTCAGTAGCTTGTCTCTAGATACCTAAACACACATACATGTGGGCTTCTGCAGCTCTGCACCAGACCAGTGGCCTGCCTGCAAGCATCTGGACATGAGGAAAAATTTCTTTACTGAAAGAGTACTTAAACATTGGAACAGGCTGCCCTGAGAAGTGGTTGAGTCACCATCCCTGGAAGTATTTAAAAGACGTGTAGATGAGGCGCTTAGGGACATGGTTTAGTGGACATGGTGGTGTTGGGTTGACGGTTGGACTCGATGATCTTAGAGGTCTTTTCCAACCTTAACAATTCTATGATTCTATGATCTAATCAGGCCAGAGCTGCTCCACATCCTTCCCATGTTGCCAAGAGCCCACCCTTCCTGCTTATCAAAACAGGACACACATGTCCTGCTCTGATAATTTGCTTTCTAAATCTTGTCGTGTGTTCCTGCCTCATGGATGGCAGGTGACACATCAAGGAAAGCTGTGTCTTCCTGAATATAATGGTGTGAACTGATTATCTCCCCAGAAGGCTGGGAAATATCTTCTTGAGGTGAGAGAGAAAGAGTCCCATAAAGGGTCTGTGAGGAAGGGTACAACCCAAGGAACCCTTGGTAGGGAATATTCCTGGCTGTCCTCAGCCTTAGGAGGAAGGGAGTTGGCCTGTGTTGAGAGGAGGCTCAGCTGTGAGGTATTCATGCTGGGGTGATTCAGCACTCTTCAAATGGTTTGTTCGTGTCAAGAAAGTCTTAGTGTAAATGGGGAAGACAGAATTAATCCCCATTTTGTCTCTGTGTGGGAATTTATACCAATCCCTAACAGAATGGGCAGTGACAACTGCATTTAAACCAGAACAAACATTGGGAAATCAATTAAGCTGTTAACAGCCATGATTGGGGCTCTGTATTCCTCTCATGGTAATCCACAGTGCTTGTATTAATGGAATTCATGAGCCAAATCGATCCATGATGTAGCTTGCTCCAGGATGGCTGTGGCTCAGTAAGCATCCTTATCTCAGTCCACGTCTTGGCTGCTGATTTTCTCTTTGCCTTTCTCAATGACAGGGTTTTAATCCCCAAGAACTATGACAGGGTGAACTGTGTTGGCCTATTCCACAAGAAAAGCTGTTCCATCCGAGTGGTGAAGAAGACTAATCCTGACATAAGCTGCAAAGTCTACAATGGAGTTGGTTAAGACCACGTGATGTGTTTCTCCCCTTCTGTGCCTGCCCTGGAAGTTGAACATGCTCTGGATCTCTCCTTTAGAGGAAAGCAGCAAAACAGCACGGTTTCAGGAGGAATGGGTTCGCCTCATGCCTTTCACAGCTCTAATTGCGCCACATCTGTCTCATTTCTGACACTAGGTGGTTTGTCTTATAACATACACGTTTGTAACCAAGCTTTACAACAGATAGCTTTGTGACTTTTTTCCTGCCGGGATCCAGATTTAAATAAATTTTCACATACATCAAATCACTGATTTTCCTTCTAAGTAGTCACTGATTGGTCTTGTTGAAAACAGAAGAACTAATGGTGTCTGTAAATGTTTGTAAATCTAATTATTGATTTGGAAATCATCTAGCTTTTAGAGTAACAGGTATTATATAAATTGTTGCCAGACAAATGGATTCATTATGCTATTATGCTCATTGACATTCCCCCAAGGACATGTATACTAGAAGAATGGGATGAAACAAAGCAGAAGACAGCCCTTTGAAAGCCTCCCTGCACCCTGGTGCCTTGTGTAGGTCAATACATTAGTGCAGATGCATAAGGGAACATATTCTCCCGAGATGACTGGTGTATTACAAAAAAAGCAAGCCCATGCCTGAGAGTCCAACCTACTGCACAGAAATGCCATATAAATAGCTCTGTAGCCTTCCATACCGGGGTAGAATTTCCTGCAATAATCTTGTTAGGGATCAAAGTCCACTGACAAACAACCCCATGAAAGCTGTTAGTACAGAAAACCTAGACTATAAAACATGTTTAACCAGTAGACTTCAGGAACTGCACTGTGCCTGGTACAAAGTCCATGAAAGTGGTTTATGTGAGAAATATCCTATAAAACATATTTAGACAATATTAAGAGCAATTATAACAAGAGTGCTGTACAGCTTAAAAGGCCCAGATAAATCATTTGAGTGTGTTCAGTTTATTCAACACTGACATCATAGGTGTTTTCTTCATCTGCTTTTCCTCTACCTTGCTGAAGTGTATTACAATGAAATATTCCAGCTGATTGAAACAATAACTTCTTTTTAATATCTGTTGTGGAAAACCACATTCACGTGGTCTATTTTCAAGTGCAGTTCTGAGAGTATATGAGTAGAGAACCTGCACATACTAAGGAAAACAGCTTACCAATCGTTAGAAGAAAACCCATCCATGGCTCCAGGTACTACCAGAAAGTCATCAAGGTGATTCCAGGAATCAGGTAAAATGAGAAATGCAGTTGTAGCTTCTTAAATCTTTGGCCCTCAGGATTAGTCAGAACTGCTTAGTAGCAGCTCCCTTTGATGATATCCCCCTGTGCCTTCTTGGGAGTAATGGTGTGGACGTCACTGGAGCTGGGTACGATCCTTCCAACCTGCAAGTAGCAGACACTGGAGGGGCACTCACTTTTCTACTTGCTGAGGGTGGATAAGAGGATTTCACCCAGCTATATATATATAAAAGGAGGTGTGTATATATATATATATATATATATAGGATCATGCTTGTGGAAAACCACATTCACGTGGTCTATTTTCAAGTGCAGTTCTGAGAGTATATGAGTAGAGAACCTGCACATACTAAGGAAAACAGCTTACCAATCGTTAGAAGAAAACCCATCCATGGCTCCAGGTACTACCAGAAAGTCATCAAGGTGATTCCAGGAATCAGGTAAAATGAGAAATGCAGTTGTAGCTTCTTAAATCTTTGGCCCTCAGGATTAGTCAGAACTGCTTAGTAGCAGCTCCCTTTGATGATATCCCCCTGTGCCTTCTTGGGAGTAATGGTGTGGACGTCACTGGAGCTGGGTACGATCCTTCCAACCTGCAAGTAGCAGACACTGGAGGGGCACTCACTTTTCTACTTGCTGAGGGTGGATAAGAGGATTTCACCCAGCTATATATATATAAAAGGAGGTGTGTATATATATATATATATATATATAAAGGATCATGCTATCAGCTTCCTATATACTAGATGCATTTATAAGGGCCTGCCTAGGGGGGCAGGAGTAACAGGGCTTTCCTGAAGGCTTGAACATCGTTTAAGCAGTTCAGAAAAATCCCTGGGAAGATACATCGGTTTCACTATCTCCGCCCCATGGAAGGAGGGGCATGAACAAATTGGAGAAGGCTGAAAATGGTTAAAATATCCATTCTGCTTCAGAGAGAGGTAGAGATTCTGACAAAACAAAGCCAAACCAAACTTGTGCAAAATACCTACAAGGATACCATGTAGGCATGCTGAGCTTAGAATACACATGGACTATGTACTGTTCCGTGGTACTTTTTCTCCATATGCTTTTGTCATCGAGTACTGTTGTGGTTTAACCTCAGCCAGCAACTAAGCCCCACACAGCCGCTCGCTCACTCCCCCCCCGGG